TTTTTTTTTTTTTTTTGTTGCAGCCATCATTGTTGTTTGGCGGGCCCGGGCTGGATTCGAACCCGCCACCTTAGGTGTATGTGGCTGGCGCCTTAGCCACTTGAGCAGCAGGCACCGAGCCAGCAACCTCAAACTCTTGAAGCGATTATCTTGCCTCAACCTCCCAAGTAGCTGGGACTATAGGCACCCACCACAATGCCCAGCTATTTTTTGGTTGTAGTTCTCATTGTTGTTTGGCAGGCTGGGCTGGATTCAAACCCACCAGCTCTGGTATATGTGGCTGGCGCCCTAGCCGCTGAGTTATAGGCACCAAGCCCCTTTGTCAACTTTTGACAGATTAAACAGAGAAAATTTACAAAACAAAATTAGTTTACTCCATATGTTTCATTTAGTGGTTAATTGTGTATAGATAAGTTTATTCCGATTCTTTTAAAATGTCTTGTAACACATTTATTTAAAATCAAAACAAAACAACCCAGGGCACATGGAATATTTCAAGTTCTCTAAAGTGTGTTTACATGCATCTTGGATTGCAGTGAAATCAAGTCCGAAGTTTGAATTGTTTTCTTTTTGTCCTTAAAGTCACAGATTTTCTCAGCTTGTGTGCTGGGCCTACTGATGAAACCTCTCTATAAAATAAAAGACCACAAGGTAGGAATGGTTGTAGGGGTCTGAACTTGGTGTAGACATAGTTAAAAAATGTATATATATAAGGCTAGGCGCAGGGGCTCATGCCTGTAATCCTAGCACTCTGGGAGGCTGACATCGGTGGATTGCCTGAGCTCACAAGTTTGAGACCACTCTGAGCCAGAGCACGACCCTGTCTCTGAAAATAGCTGGGCATTGTGGTGGGCGCCTGTAGTCCCAGCTACTCCAGAGGCTAAGGCAAGAAAATTGCTTGAGCCTAAGAGTTTGACGTTGCTGTCAGCTGTTACCCACAGCACTCTACTGTGAGTGACAAAATGAGACTCTGTCTCAAAAAAAAAAAAAAAAAAAAAGAAAAAAAATATATAACCTGGCCAGGCATGGTGGCCCATGCTTATAATCCTAGCACTCTGGGAGGCTGAGGTGGGTGGATTGCTTGAGCTCAGGAGTTGGAGACCAGCTTGAGCAAGAGCCAGACCCTATGTCTAAAAATAGCCAAGGGTTGTGGCAGGTGCCTGTAGTCCTAGTTAGTTGGGAGGCGGAGGCAAGAGGATCACCTGGGCCTAAGAGTTTGAGGTTACTGTGAGCTATGATGATGCCGTGGCACTATACCCAGGGTGACAAAGTGAGACTATCTCAAAAAACAAAAGAAACAAAAATATACACACATATATAAAACCAGTTGTTGTTTCTAGCTTGCTTCCCTATAATTACTTACTACTCAGGAGTCACTTAGCTGAGGGTCATAAAGATTCTTAGCTTTCTTCATTGTTCCATAGATGACATCACCCTTGTGAAACCTAAGGCTGGTCTTTGAGATATCTTCCAGGCCTTGCATTCTGGAGAAATGGCTGACCCACCAGATCAGTGACCTAGGAACTGACTCAACTGGTCTTAAAATCCCCACCCAAGAAGTGACTCAGCAAAGGAGAGGATTTCTACACCATTGTGATTCCAGACCAAATCCGGCTAATTAGCAGACTCAGTTGCCTAGTCCTTTGCCCACCAAACTATCTTTAAAAACCCTTTCTCCCAAGTTCCAAGAAGAGAGATTTGAGAATTTCATCCCATCACCTCACATGGTGCTTGTAATATTAAACTTTCCCTGCTGTCTTCCTCTTGAGCAGCTGGCAGTGAACATGGCTGGGCTGTAAAGCTGAGGGGATGATTGTCTCTAGCAGCAGATATTCCATGCAGAATTTCAAAGCCAACTGCCTTCTCTTAGTTCACGCTTTTTAAAGAGAACTCTCCTAATTTATGAGGTCATCTGACTTCTATAGCCACTTGCTTAAGTACATTGGGGGCAGATAGGATGATTTGCCTAACAGTATACAGTTGTAAGCACATAACCCCCTTCTGGTTCACTGTTCTCTGCACCCTCTTACACCACTAGCTATTTAGTCTGGGTCTCAAAATGAGTTTATTCTCAATATACAGGGTGGCCATAAGATTTCTGTGCAATTTAAAATACAAAAGTTGCAAAGTCTCTCTTTTTTTTATGGCCAAGTATATTTTTATGTTGACTGTAGATCGTCATAGTTTTTTTTTTTTTTTTTTT